GGGTGATGGATGAATTTAATACCTGAGATAAGTGTACGGGTTTTTATACGCGCAGTCTAAAAACTTTCCGATCGCACCTCGTATAAAACCTGAGCATGTTCATCACAGTCAGAAACCGGTCCCTATCCTGAACCATATGGATCCAGTCCTCATTCTTCAACTCTAGTTCTAGACACTTTTGTCTCATTCTTTTTGTACCATCGGGTCGGAGCCGACCTCTGGTGACATTATGAACAAGTTCCCTCTGATAGGGGATTTATTCATATGTTTCCTTGGTAGGAGCCGACCTCTGGTGACACCATTGCCTTCTTCTGTGTGTGAATGGAGTAATTGTTGGGATGCCACGGAGAAACCGGAGAAACCCCGGAGGAAAACTCCGTGTTACCTGGACTACGGCCTTGCCCAACACAAGTTATAAACCCGGGACCCCAGGATTACAAGCCCACCGTTCCAACCGCTAGACCACCGTGGATAATTACATTAATGAATAATGTCTATGTAATTGACACAAGTTATATTTTTAGGTCAATAAAACAAAGCAGGTAAGAGAAACAGCTCAAGTCTGATGATGATTTGAAAGAAAAAATTCTTCTGAACATATGAGGAGTCTAAAAGCAAAGTAAGCAATCTCCAGTTTCCCAAAATTTGAGAAAAATGCAACAAAACCACTAACATCACTTAATTTAGGATTTTCTTTTTTACTCAGCACAAAATTCGCTATATTTATCAGAAGATGCATATTTCAAATTTGGAATATTGATTATTTGCCTGAAACTAAGTTCTTAAATATGAACAATACTGTCCTTGTTTGCACTGAAGGATAAAGATGGGTTTGAATTGTTCACACAATTTATCATGAATAAGAGGCCAGACACTTTCCAATGATTGTAGAGTTCTTACTCTGACCATGGCATCCATCCACGAAAGGTGAACTGTTTTCTTATTGGCTAAGTTAGTTTTGATAAGTCTGTCATGAAGTGCAGAGGCTATTTAAAAATACTCTTTCACGGAATCGTCTGTCCAAAAAATCTGTAGCACTATCAGGTTATTTTCTGTGGAAGAACCCTGAACAATGATAAAATTATACAAATATAGCTGGCAGCTGTAGTAAACCAAGCTTAAGAATCAAAATTGAGTGTAAAAGAAGTCTGGTCTTTGCTCTTTAACAAGAGAAAAAGTTGTCAGTGGAACGACGATTCCGGAGAATCAGACGTAAATACGTCTTTGTATTTAAATTATATTTAAGCAATAAATACAATTGAAGGGAGTTCATATATTAGCTTTATTCTAAATATTCCCTTTATACATGCTTTACAATTGAGTAAATAGTTTGATTAAGACAATGATTATTTGACTATCCACGTTCATCATTGGTTTTTGGTATTTTTTTGGAACTTCAGGTTCATTATTTAATACTTCAATTTTTTACGTTTTCTGTACTGTCTAATTTATTCTGCACTACGGACTATTTTAGCTTCAATGTCATCCATCTTGTTATGTCTACATAGTATGACGCAACACACAAACACAACAGTAGCGTGAAATGCGATGCGCCTTTATTTTTATAAATAAATGTTTGTAGAACCTAAACCATTTGTGGCATGTAAAATCTGAAAACAGATATGGAAAGCTCAAGAGGTAATACGTATTTCTAATGCGATATATCCGATCCATCTCTTACGGTTTTCGAGAGGCGGGCGCTTAACGCGCCAGATGCATTGAAAATTGCACACATTGCTTCATTAAAATTACAATAAATGTAAAACAATTATAATTACAATAAAATACATTAGATTCTTAAAGGTATTTATTTACTGATCTTGCCATTCCTGAGAAATGAACGTTTAAAGGTGACTCGGCGCTGGATCTTACACATCTTCGTAACTAACGCTGTTTTGGCCGAATGACCCTTCCGTATAGACGTATTTACGTCAAAAAATAATCCTGTTTTAGTTAATCATCACATCTTTTGAAGATATTGAAAAAATCTTTGCTTCACTGACAATTTGGTACACTGAAAATCATCTCGTTTGTGGTTCATGGATTATCAGACCATATTCACAGCCCAAACATTCGCTATTTAACCTTCCCACACAACATTTTATGTCAGTGTAGGCTCAGAATCAAGTTCGTGGGTACTGGCGACATCTTTCGTGCGTAGTGTTTACTTCATTCAAGTAACTCGACTCGTAGCTGGCGACATCTTTCGTGCGTAGTGTTTACTTCGTTCAGTAACTCGACTCGTAACGAAACTATGCAGAGAATGCTCCGTAATTGTTAAGCTGTTGTGTCAACAACCGACACAAGATTTGTTGCTCTCAGCCATTGTTGATATTAACAACTTCGTTTCCATGGTGTGCGATGTGGTGCGAGAGCAGGAAGACGTTTCAAAAGTCAGAGTGAAAGATTCAATAGAACTGCATACAAAGAACAGAATAAAATATAATACGGTGCATAAAAGAATTCCATATATTGTGTGATGTATTGACGACGATGAACGCAGTAATCCACCCTTGTACGCCATCCCGCCGGATTCCCGTAAGTTATAATGAAAGAGCAGCCTTCTGTAGATTCTGTTAAGCTAGAAGTGCCTACAACATTGCTGCATTCACTCCTATAAATGAATTTTACAGCTCCTGTATTTATAACACCCTTATATGTGTCTGTATACATTCTCTTTGTGGCTATAACAGCTTCTGTATCATCAGACTGTACACCCACACGGAAACAACAGAGAAGTGGGAGGAAAAGTGTAAATATAAATTTTAGTATTTAACAAACTCTATTACAGTGATGGAATGGGCGGTGAATGTAGCACACTTGGGAGACCTAACTGAAAATTACAGATTATTTTTTAAAATGGGGCTTCAGTAGACAGAACGCTGGAATCATCAGACGTAGGATGGGAAGCAGTGACCAGATATTTTGAACTGAACATCGCCGTGAGTCAGCGGAACGAATCATGGGTTATGACAACAAATTTGAGTTACCTCCAAAGCTGTAATACTTAAAGCTAAGAGGAAATACGAATTAAATCTGGTTTCAGTTTCTCTAAACAATTTAAGTTCGGTACAATATTTTTGCATGATAAATGTTTATCGAGATACAATCGAGATTCGTATAGACATGTATGTACATATTCACGTGAAGTAGCCATTAATGTTGCCAGAATTTAACTAAATTTGGAATTATGTTCAGATATTTTAGTCAAGCTCATCACATTAAAGTCTAAGTAAATTTCCTACATCATGACTTACCTTCATGCATTGCTCTAGGACACAAAGCTCAGACGAATGCAGTAGCTTCACAACCATTCGCACACATAGGTAATTGTTATTTGCGAAGTTTTCTCAATTACCGTGTAGATAACAATCCCATGACATGAGAGCACATGTTTCAATAGCCCATCTACGGGTTAGCAATTAAACAAATTACAGCACAAAATGTGTCCTTCAAAGTGTGATCGTGGTTAGGTTTATTTCTTGTAGGTTATGTAACTTTATCGACATTTACATTCAAGTTTATTTATGAAAGTTAATATGGGACAAAATTGTCATTTATGAAAGATAACATGGAACAGAAGGTCGTTAATAAAACATGAAATGAAACAAACTGTGCGTTACTGCCTTGATATCGAAGATAAATGGCTTGTCGCTCAACAACAGAAATTAGTTGTTTTTTTCTGCAACAATCGTAAATGTACAACTACGTTTACATGGATATAGCGACCAAACAACATAGAGCGAGAGCAGGAAGACATTTGAAACAGCAGCGCAAATATAAAACGAAATAAATCTTCCTTGAGTAGTGTCTATTATGTCCGTATATGCTTCGCGCATGCGCGTTCTTAGCGCCCCTAGTAGACTGAAAAAGAAATTACCGTGTCATATCATGTACTGCTCCACGTCAGCTTAGTAAAATAATTCAGACGATGTGTGAAGAGAAGTGTATGAATTTAACTATAGGCTTTGTATACGTAACATTGTCATATACAATTTCCCGTCTTCGCTAGGTTGTAATTATTTACCAAGAAATAATATTACATGTCGAATTAAAAGGCATGTTGTAATCGTATCTCCAGATAAACTTAACGCGTATCTTTCCATTTTGCATTGGTTTATTATTATTATTTATTATTGACTGCAAATTGGTTTTTACCCGGTGGCAGTGGCATTGGTTATGACAATCATACCGAATGCAGAATTTATGCAGAAATTATTACTTCTTTCAAATTCAACTAAAAAGAGGTTCCAAATAGTATTAGAATAATAAATCAAGCAGGATAAGACGGGCAGAACATGCAGCATATACAGGAGAGATTATAAATGGGAGATCACTTGCGAGACGACGCACAAACTGGAGGGTAACATTAAAAATGATGTGTGGAGGGGATTCAGGTGGCTCAGGAGAGTTATTAGTGCTGGAAAATTTAGTGAACGTTGGACTTTCACTACAGCTAGGCGACTATTAACTTCTGAAGGAAGGCTGTACTGGACATTTCACACGCATTAGGGATAACGATGCTCTGCTGGGTATTGGCGCCATGTGAACTAGCCGGTGAATGCTAACGTTTCGTAAAACCCCTGAAGATGAAGACAGTACGCTTCTCCGAAACATCAGTATCTACTGACCAGTCCACACGGCGCCAGAACCCACCAAGTAACAAAATCAATATTGTCACCGCCGTGATAACCTCAAATCTTGCATGAAGGACTTCTTGTAGCGCGTCCCTGGATACGCAAGGACTCGAAGATGGCGGTCGTCCTATTTATCTGTTGTTTACAACTGTTGAACAGCCCAAACGTCAAGGTTAGAGTTCCGTAACTCTGTCAGTGCGATAACTGCGCATGAGCCGTGTCTGTCGGTGACTAATGCCAGACATTCTCCTCTTTTCCAGGATCGCGCTAAGCTTGGCGACAAGAAGTTCCAGGACGCCGTCAAAGATGATCAGAAACACCGGGCACTGATCAAGCATCAATTGAACAAGAAACCATTGCAAAAAGGTGAAGAGGTCAATCTAATTAGACCCCCAGGTATGAGCGCTTCTAGGAAACGAGGTATTAATAAACCGCTGCGGCATGAATTGACTCATGAGAGACACGCAATAAGATGTTTGATATCGGGCCACTTCGTTCCTTGTGCCAACAAGACCTGAGCTAATTGGCTTTATAGTCTATTAGTATATTTGTCTATACACATACATTTATGTTCTATGTAATGGGTAGTTCTCTGTAGCATAAAAGATTTAATTTTCGTTATATTGCATGAATTACGTGAACATGCTTACTACTAATTACGTGACGCACTTTGGGAACGTTTGCTATTGACTGAGTATCAACGAAATATATCAGTGTGGGAGAACAGAGCAATATTTTCGTATTCATCATTCTTTATTTCTAAAACATTCGTCTATTATAAGAGGAATGGCTGTGAACTGAATTTGTTTATAAACAAACACTTGAGGAAAATGTTACTACAGGATAGTAACTTTCGACTGAAGCTATTTCTGGCTTGCTTAAATCTGCAAAATATTCATTTTCACTCGCATTCTGTAGAGGCACCTTTGAACATTGTTTTAAAATATCCAGAAGTGCTGTAAACGTGCATGAATGTCTAATATTACATTGCTTTTGCACATTTAGATGCTAGAAATGTATATAAGGGAGACTACAAGAAGTTCCAGGACGCCGTCAAAGATGATCAGAAACACCGGGCACTGATCAAGCATCAATTGAACAAGAAACCATTGCAAGAAGGTGAAGAGGTCAAACTAATTAGACCCTCAGGTATGAGCGCTTCTAGGAAACGAGGTATTAATAAACCGCTGAGGCATGATTTAACTCATGAGAGACACGCAATAAGATGTTTGATCAATTGAACAAAAATTTTCTTGGATATTATCCATCGTCTACTAAATATAAAACGTAAAACTACGTTTCGGAGATGGGACTCTATCTCCGTCTTCAGGTTCCTACACAGTTGGGCCCACTAGATAGAGCTAATCCCTATCTCCGGAGATAGACAAATTTTTATTCAATTGACTCTTCACCATCGTCAAGAAGTTTTAGATTTGATAAGATGTTTGATATCGGGCCACTTCATTCCTTGTGCCATTAAGACCTTTGCGAATGGTAGAGATCACGAGCTAATTGGCTTTATGGTCTATTAGTATATTTGTCTATACACATAAATTTGTGTTCTATGTAATAGGCAGTTCTCTGTGGCATAAAAGATTTAATTTTCGTAATATTGCATGAATTACGTGAACATGCTTACTACTAATTACGTGACGCACTTTGGGAACGTTTGCTATTGACTGAGTATCAACGAAATATATCAGTGTGGGAGAACAGAGCAATATTTTCATATTCATCATTTTTTATTTCTAAAGCATTCGTCTGTTATAAGAGGAATGGCCGTGAACTGAATTTGTTTATAAACAAATACTTGAGGAAAATGTTTGTTCCTAAGAACAACGAATTAAGAAGGCAAAAAAACATAAATCTTGTCTGGTTATGAAGATCTCTTGGTATACTGGGGGGATTGAAAGGTAGGTTAGGTTAGTTTAGGTTATGTTATGTTACACCTGACCGGGCATGTAATTAGGACGTAAGACCGAGGTGGACGTCAGATAATAGAATAAATACGGATTTTAGGAAAATATTTATGTTAGCCTGTAACATGAATGCAACTGGTTCAAGATGGTTTCCTAAGGACGGCGTCACTATTAACGGTGTTCAATCTTCGGGCTGCAGGCTACTACAGGAGAGTTACTTTCAACTGAAGCTATATCTAGCTCTCTTAAAACTGCAAAAAGTACATTTTCACTCGCATTCTGTAGAGGCACCTTTGAACATTGTTATAAAGTATCTAGAAGTGCTGTAAACGTGGATGAATGTCTAATATTCATTGCTTTTGCACATTTAGATGCTAGAAATGTATATAAGGGAGACTACAAGAAGTTCCAGGACGCCGTCAAAGATGATCAGAAACATCGGGCACTGATCAAGCATCAAATGAACAAGAAACCATTGCAAAAAGGTGAAGAGGTCAAACTAATTAGACCCCCAGGTATGAGCGCTTCTAGGAAACGAGGTATTAATAAACCGCTGCGGCATGAATTGACTCATGAGAGACACGCAATAAGATGTTTGATATCGGGCGACTTAGTTCCTTGTGCCAACAAGACCTGAGCTAATTGGCTTTATAGTCTATTAGTATATTTGTCTATACACATAAGTTTGTGTTCTATGTAATGGGCAGTTCTCTGTAGCATAAAAGATTTAATTTTAGTTATATTGCATAAATTACGTGAACATGCTTACTACTAATTACGTGACGCACTTTAGGAACGTTTGATATTGACTCAGTATCAACGAAATATGTCAGTGTGGGAGAACAGAGCAACATTTTCATATTCATAATTTTTTATTTCTAAAGCATTCGTCTATTATATAGATATATATATATATTATATATCTATGAACTGAATTTGTTTATAAACAAACGCTTGAGGAAAATGTTACTACAGGACAGTAACTTTCGACTATAACTATCCTTCCTCACTACTTTTACCTTCTCTGTTCTTGCAGAAAGAGATAGTTATAACAAGGATCACCTCATGGTTGACGTGGTAATTTTTATGTACATCAATAAATACAGGAACAACAGATTTAAGAAACCGAATAATTTTATTTTGAAATTAAAGAAAATCTTATACACTATTTCCCTAACTGGTACAAAAGTTTGGTTTACTGTCTGAAAGCCCGCTGTCGACTCTGTCCACTTGAGTACTGCCATGTGTTTTGACCTGGAGACCAGATCCCTTGCTGGCGAGGGAACCTCCACATATGGCTTGCTAGCTGGGGGGCCCTTCACCCATGATCTTCTGGCCAGTTCAAATTTCAAGTCAAAAAGTTACAGGGGTTCTGGACTGGTATAAACTCCCCGATAATGAAGTGAGGACAATTTTGATTTCAAATTCGTCTGAACTTCTTATCTAAGCTCTAAACATCCCAACGTGAAGCAAGGTCATTATGTTACCTTATAAGTAAATACTACGTTTATCATTCGCATGCAATTTACTCCACACCTATGTGAGTCCCTATCTCCACATGCGTTGTTCTTGTATTTCTAAAAGATTATAACTCACAGATCCTCTCAATTTGTCTCCTACCTCACTACTTTTATATATATCTGACTAAACTTACACTATAAACCAAGTACCTCTATCCCGCTCAAGATTATATGTAGTGATAATTATTCCCTAAAACAATTGGTACGTATACTCAAATGTGACATCTTATAACATAGAAACATATCAAATACAAGGCAAACATATGCCAACTGGATAAACTTTTTATAGTCTGACTGCTTTATATACCCCTAATTGCTTTCTCTAATCTGCATTTTGTTTCAAACATTCCTTGCGTTCTTACCATAGCTTTCCATTATAGAGCTTTTTAAAGAAATGCATGAACTATTATTTACCTCAAACCGTCATATTTTGGGTTATGTCCACTCGAGTAATGCCATGTGTTTTGACCTGCATAGCAGATCCCTTGCTGGCGAGGGAGCCCTTCACCCATGATCTTCTGGCCAGTTCAAATTTCAAGTCAAACAGTTACAGGGGTTGTGGATTGGTATACGACTGAAGCTATTTCAGGCTTGCTTAAAACTGCAAAAATTTCATTTTCACTCGCATTCTCTAGAGGCACCTTTGAACATTATTATAAAGTATCTAGAAGTACTGTAAACGTGGATGAATGTCTAATATTACATTGCTTTTGCGCATTTAGATGCTAGAAATGTATGTAAGGGAGACTACAAGAAGTTCCAGGACGCCGTCAAAGATGATCAGAAACACCGGGCACTGATCAAGCATCAATTGAACAAGAAACCATTGCAAGAAGGTGAAGAGGTCAAACTAATTAGACCCCCAGGTATGAGCGCTTCTAGGAAACGAGGTATTAATAAACATCTGCGGCATGAATTGACTCATGAGAGACAGGCAATAAGATGTTTGATATCGGGCCACTTCGTTCCTTGTGCCAAAAAGACTTGCGAATGGTAGAGATCATGAGCTAACTGGCTTTATAGTCTATTCTCTTTTTATAAAGTAAAGTTTTTAGGGACATACTTTGTAAGCCTGTGTGGATTGGTAGTTACTGAGGATGGATTCTTTACGCAAGAGCTGTTATTAGGGACGTAGGCTACCGCCCGATTTTTAGTTGTAAATCAGGGAATTTATAGATCGTTTCATATTGTAAAAAATCATTTTTCCAGATTTTTGTTGAGTTACCTTCAGTGCTTTAAAGCAGTGGCAATCAACCTGAGGTACGCGTACTCCCGGGGGTTCACGGAGACATCTTAGGGGTACGTGAAATTTAAAAAAAAAATTATTTTATGATAAACCCTCATTAATCAGTAATGTAATTTATTTAACTTATTATAGATGTAGATTATATACTATGTATATGTTGAATTAAACACCAACAACTTTGGGGGTACAAGGTTGAAGAGAAATTATATCTCGGGGTATGCGAACAAAAAAGATTGAATACCACTGCTTTAAAGTATCTAGGAGTCTTATATATTTCATACATAATTTTTATTCCATTGCTCTTGGTACAATTGAATGCTTGATCGTGAATGCTGTAAAAGGCTGTTTAATTTGACAACTTCAGCGTAGCCCTTATCGGGAATCTAGTAGTTGCTCAGCCAGCAGTGAAATATCCTGTGTTTCATAAAACTCGATCATTCATAGTCGTGTTCACCAAATCTAAATGCAGTCCCTGTCCTGCACGACACAACTCTCCTTCCTTAAGATCTGTATAATAATATCTTCCGCATCTACGCGTATGAGTCCATTTATCCCCTCAGGATTCCCAAAGAAAAACTTTAAATGCATTTCTTATAGTCCCATCTGTGCTACATGCCCCACACTCCTCATCCTATTTGATTTTGTAAGCCTAATATTAATTATTGAAAGTAATTATGAAGCTCCTCATTACGCAGTTTTCTCCAGTTCCAACGGCTTCATCCCTATCAGCTCCAAATATTTTCCCACGCACCCTGTTCTCAAACACCTCAATCTGTGTTCTTCTCTTTCTGAGAGAGACCAAGTTTCGCACCCACAGAACACAAATGTTCGTATGTTTCAGTAATTGGGTTTTCAGATAACAAACAGAGAGACAAAGAAGTTCCTGATTACAGTTAAACAAACCACGTGGAGATCCTATAGACTTTGATTTCATAGATCGGGATCGATACCACCATTTGAGGCGGTGTTCCTCCCTGATCAAAATGGACAATCCGTTCAGTGGCGAATTACGTCGTTTACTGCATACATTGCTACATTCACTCATGAAGAACAAAGACAGGCCACTTAGATCATGTCTGTAATTGTGATGCTTTGTTACAGTCCGACTTTCTGGGCCTCACCTTCCGAAATTACGGGACTTCAAGCCGCTCATGCGTCTGGGAAAAGGAAGTGAGTACAAATTCTGCTAACTCTCGGCAAAAATGTTATGCATTTTTCTGTCTATAACCAACTAACTTGCTCAGACTTAGAGGTTTAATTGGTGTAGACCCAAACGGTATTCAGTTGAAGAGAATTCTTTGTATCTGAATGTTAACTGAACCGCGTCCGCCTGAAGCCTGTTAACAATGAATTGTGTAGTGACAAAGTCGCTTATTAACGAAATCCTGAATGGAGTTCGTGTGACTTTGACACATAACCTCCAAAGAGGTTTCAAGTACAATTTGAGTTATAATTATGAATGAAATGCCACAGACTTAAGTGGGATTACGTCCTGTTCGTGTCACGCTCTAGAGCCGTTAATAGCAGCCTCAGGAAATTACGTGCTCTAATCAATTCGAACGTCAAATGCCATCACCTGTGGCGTGTGCTTCAACTGCCTCTTGAATACTGGGCCCACACGAAACGTGAATTGACAACTTTCTTTTAGAAGATGGCTGCCTTCTGGTTTGTTGCGCCGTGTAGTTTACCGACGTTTCAGAGGGATTTGCTGCCTCCATCATCAGGACAACAAACGAGACGACAGCAATCTTCAGTCTCTCCGCATTCAAAATCTTAAATCCTAAAAATTCTCTTTTAGTTATCAATCTCTGATAGTACAAACAATTCTAACCTTTGTTGAGGGAAAGTTTACAAATATTTGGGCCCTTTGTTAAGCAGATAGCAGCATGTAATATAACTGTGCACTGTAACACTGACGTCGACATTTATTGAGCGACTGGTTTCAGTAATGTTGGACGTGCCTTCCTGATCTTATGTCCAGTTCTAAATATATTTACATTTAATAACTGTATAATTTTATAGCGTTTGGAGAAGTTTACCTTGCTCAGAAGAACGGCGGTGTAGACAGCGGGGCACTATACGCCATGAAGATGATAAATATCTCCCGGAGCATGGGTGAAAGAAATGGTCCTCAAAAGTTTAGAACAGAATATGCTGTGCATGAAAGAGTTACGAACGTCCCGTTCCTAGTGGGACTCCACTACACCTTCCAGAGAGAATCAAATCTGTGGCTCGCAGTGGGTAAGTATGTTAGTAAGTAATCTTCCACGATATCTGAGAAACGAAGTAGAGAACAAAATTGCGGTGGTCGGTCAGTGCAACGGGAGAGGAGAGTTGCCGGAACAGAGCACATTGACAGTACTTTAATTGTTATGCATTGCTTGCACGAAGTGCATGGCGAGAACGAATTATTGATTAGTCATGTCTGTACTTCAGTCTATCTGTCAAGTTGATTCCACTCGAGAACCACCGGACGGATTGAGAAATTTTTTTATATAGATGCTGTGCCATTCTGCACGACCTCAAGATCGCACTTTTGAATATCCCACAAGCGGTGATAACAAAATTATAAATGAGGAAAGTCGTGAGGTGGACACTGAGTTGATGCCATCTCTTGCCAAAAGTGGGAACTATCAAAGTCCTAATTTGTTAAAGATGGTTGCTATGTTTAACATTGGCGGCCATTTCTATGAGTTCTTTGAATGTTTGTCATGGATACTATGATAATCGTGGTTCCTCTTGATGTAAGTGAAAAACAGCTGGTGTTCTGGGGTCAACTTCTTTTCTTACGTTGTTCTGTGATCTAGCAAAAGCAACTGACTAAGTAAATCATGAAGTCTTATTGTTTAAATTACATTTGAGCAGTATTCAAGGACAAACTTGAAACTGATTCAGCAAGCATTATTGCGAATAGCATTTACCAACTTTATTAATTTTTTTATGTAAACTTAGGAATAGATTTTTCACAGTATTCAATTTATTCTTATGAGAGAACCGAATTACTCAATGTATAGGAATCATCAAACTTTTATTAAGAAATATGGCACTAGTGACATCAATGAATATGATTGGTTCTGATAAGGTTTTAATTGTTCACGGAAGGTCCTTTATGTACGTTTTGAAAAGTGAAGTCCATGAAATTTAGAATTCCATGTGTCATTGCTCACCATTTGGAGTAGGAAGTTCAAGGTACAGTAGATGGTTTCCGTCTCACTTCTACTTTATTGCTTGTAAGATTTGATGTAGGCATTGGATGTAATGGAGAATGTACAGAACAGTCATCAAATAAAAATTCCTCGGCCTACAGAATAATAATAACCTACACTGGAAGAATAATATTGATTAAATGAGTCATATTAAGTAGGGCATGTTATATCATTGGACAAATGTTTCATATTATCACCATTTACACACTGCAATCAATGTAATTCACATTGATTCGCTCTATATTGAAGCATACAATCATTTTTGGAGATGATCCGTCTAACTACAAAACAATTTTCTTATAAAAGAAAATCTTTAGAATCATGGCCAGTCACAAAAACCAAGAAATTCGTCTAGAAGTCCATTTAAGGCTAGAAATGTTACCTCATCCTTGTGAATAAACATTCTGTTAAATTACCTAAAGGTTTCTCAGACAAATTGAAAAATAATCGATATTAACACAAGTTATAAAAACCACCTTCATAGACCAACTGCCAACCTAAACGTGCACAAATAATAATACACGTATTACCTGAACTTAATGGATTTATATCATAATCACTAACATTGGCATACCTACTCTATATCATTGGATTTAGTAAAACATATTTATGTTCAATAACATTTATTATTTGAGAAACGTAATTGGTGGTTAGCGCGCTCGCCAGTGGACCGAAGGTTCGCGGGTTCAATCCCGGCCGAGATCGATTAATTTTTAAGGGTGATAAAAATCCGTAGCACAACTTCCTTCGGAGGGGAAGTAAAGCCGGCGGTCCCATGTCGTAGATTTATGGCATGTAAAAGAACCTTACGAGCATGATACGAGATGTCTCGTGAGCAAAATTCAGCGGTCATTTCTCACCTAATTCTCTCCTGATTTACTGTTTAACTGATAGATGACTCTGGCAGTCAAATCAGGAGTAAATAGAATTCGTGCAGAGTCAGTGAGCTAGTCATTCACTATTCTTAAATGCACGCCTTAAAGACTGTAAAACCTACGGAATGAGGCCCTATGCTGCACTTAGGAGTTACAGGAAATATCTATCTATCTAATTGATATTTTAAATCATATTATCGATAGGACTTGCATTTTTATCCATTCCACTTTCTTTGGTCAATCTGATTTACTGTTGGATCCGTGAAAAGTAATTACAAAATGGTGTCTAAACAGCTATTTGACTCGACTTCGAAAGAGATGTACCGACCTGCGCAGGCGCAGAGCCGTTCTTATGTGCAATATCGAAGCATCTGTTAGCACTTAGTTCGCCATTACTTTGCTAACTTTGTAATATTTCGTCTCATTCTGATTTTATTAGTCTGGGGGGAAGAATCCGTTGCTTCTTTGTGAACATTCTTTCAGTTTTCAGCCTTCTGCAGAGCGCCATTTTCAAGCAACACTGATGTCAAATCGAATATGCAACGCACTGATCTTCATTGACCTGTAGTAGCAGTAACAGTCCTTACTCTAATGAGGATTCATTATTATTGTTCCAGACTATTATCCAGGCGGCGATTTACGGGATCTGTTAAACTGGAAGAGAAAACTTACAGAGAGCACAACTAGACTCTACCTCGCTGAGATAGTCTTGGCCGTAGACCACCTGCATAAGGTAGGCAATCAAACTATCCCAATATAGTTATTTCCAACAAATTCCATAATATGTCTGTGTAAACCCAAGTACGTAAATTGTGCAGCCACAGAAATTTTCCATTTAATTCAGTACTTCATTTCTTCACTATAAGTAAAATCATTTTAATTTCTGTAAAATATGTCTAAAGTAATGACAAAGGATAATTGCATCTGTGTATCTGTGCGCTTTCTCCCCCTCGCTCTAACGCTGACGAAATTAAAACTCTGCGCAGGATGAGAGTACAGGGCTTCTCTCCGTGCTACCGCCGCTCCATCTGGGGCCTTTATATGAAAGATCTGATTGCAAATGGCAGCCGACAGCCAGGGAACTTAGATGGTTGTATTCGTTAAACATAATTAATAATTCCTTACGAGGTGTCTCAGAAATTCTTCCTGGGTGAGACATCAGATTTTCTGTTCCGACGGCCACTCTTACCCACACACAAAGTGAGTTATTGTCCGATTAAGGGAATTGAGATAAATCCAAGAATTGACACTTTTGCTTACCCTTCGAGAGGCAACCGGGAGCCGTGGTCGGGCGGTTAACTCTCCTGCAGCGTACGACAGCTTAGCTAGAGCGAGCGACACGTGACAGAAGAGCAAAATAGGGGAACCACATCTCAGTGCCACAGTAACAACGCCACATGTCCCAGTTCTTAAAACCCAATGCTTAAGGAGCTTGTTAATTTTTTCTTTTAGATTGGAGTAATCCATCGGGACCTTAAACCAGAAAATATACTGATCGACTCTGAAGGTCATATAGCGGTCACGGACTACGGACTGTGCAAAGAATTTCCACCCGACGCAAAGGTACATTTAATATCGACTTTGAATTTTGTTCAGTTTACTTACTTGATGTTTTTTGTATGTGGACCGCTGTCTGTCTGACAGTGCCCTTCATTTGAGGAAAATCCAGGCACAAGAGAGGCCTCGTGTGCCTGAAATTAGACCACACATTTTCAGGCGTTTTTTTTTGTACCAACATTTTATTGAAAGTAAATCTCAATCACGTTCAATCAAGTTCTTAGAGTCTGACGGGGTGAACCGAGAAGTTCAGAACTCTAATAATTATAGCTTTTTAGGAGTTTCATAAACAGTTGCTATTCTTCAATTCAGAAACCATTAACATACTTTGGGGGAAGAATTTCAGTCACAAGTGTTAAAAAATGGCAATACTGGAATGTCAAGGGGATAAAACAAGGGGCAATGTCAGATATTATATTACGAGAAAATATGTAGTTTGTACAGCTCCACACTTATTGTTAGGGCAGTCAAGTTAAGGGCCAGATGTGTAAGGAGAGAAGTAAAGTTACAAAATATACGTGGGGAAAACCTACTGGAAAGTGTGAACTTGGAAAATCAAGAAGAAGAGGGTAATACAGCATTAAGAGATGGATGACAGAAGTAATTTGTGAAGAATGGGGATAATACATCTGGCTCAGAGCTGTGTCCAGTGGTCGTCATTGTTATTGGCCATGCCCAAAGTTTTGTTTGTGTTTGCTGGAGAGATAATTTCTAGTTGCCTCGTGTCTCAAATTCCTGTAAAAGTTAAATAAAATCTTGCTTTCATCAACAGATTAAACGTGCTTATTCAGTGTGCGGCACAAGTGACTACATGGCTCCAGAGATGATTCAGGGCAAAGGTTACAGCATGGTAAGTATCTTATACCATTACAGTATAATGAAAATGATTTCTTTGTTTTAGACTAGTATAAAGAAGCGTCAAATTATGAAAATCAGTGGGTTTCGAGCCACAATTAGTAACTCCATGGAGTTCATAATGACACATGTGTAGGCAGAACCATTAAACTGAAATTGATTCACGTGCGCGATGACTGATACACATTTGTCAGAAATGGTAACCGCAGTCACTACATAACTTATCCTCCCAGCAAGTTCTAGCAAATTGGTGGCACTTATATAGCATTTTTGATGTAACCCAAAATTATAAATCAAGGACAGTAAAGCCAGGCTAACGATGTGGCCAATGTTAGACCAACCCCTAATATTACAGTTCTCTGTAAACTTGCTATTTAAGACAACCACCACGTCCTTGTGGAAAAGTAAAGACTTGTTCAAACAGCATGTCATTGGGACTGTGTTCTTCCAAAATAGGAATGAAGAATTCCCTTAGCATGTCTAGATACACATTGTTAGTCACAGTCTGGAAAAGGCCAAAAATATTATGTTTGTATAAAGTACTTGCTCAAATATAGACAGTCTCTTGTATGGTAATTGGATTCATGTTGCCCCCCCCCCAATTCTTAGCTAATGTCAGTTAAAATTTCCTGACAAATGAAAACATTGTTGGTCGAAAATTTTTTGTCGACTTCAAATCTTTAAAGAATGTCACACCAAAATTTATAGCAAACTACTTTTTCCTCAAACAGTTACATAATGCAAAAGTCAGTTCTTATATATTTTTTTAAATTTCAGGCAATACCACACATTTATATGTAGTGTTGAGTGTTATTATGTGTGAGGTATTTAGTTGTCAGCTACCACACCAGGTGGATTTGCGTGGCCTGCAAACGAAACTCTTATGAGTTGTATCCACATGAGTCCCACTGACTATTGGTCTCTCGGGGATCCTTCCTTTACGATTGTAGCAAGTTTGATCAAAGAATTGATATCACTTCTACATCGACACTTTTATTCCACATTCTCTTCCAAACTTTGTAGAAAATCTCCTTTGTACTGAAACCGGAAACATGTACTCCAGAAGCTACGGAAACCAACCAACCAACCAAAAAGCTAACTGAGGGCGGAGGCCTGCGCAAGCGCAAGACATCGTCCCTACCTAGGTGACACCATTCCTGCGCTCAAGGCGCATTGCTGGAAATGGTAAACGGTCTTAATATAAAAAACGGAAATTTTGCTGACGCTAACTGGGTTACGCCGTGGCTGGAGCCTCGACCATTCAAACTGGGATCTGTTGCTGCTGATGGGAGGTTATCCCGTCAGGCAAGTTGTCCAAAGGAATTTGGTTGGTTGGATCTCTGGGGTTTGAACCCAGAGAGGGAGGGGCCGTTTCGGCTGAAGGCCTCTGCGGCATGGGGGGTAGACTCGTGGTGCCGACTTGGCCGTCGTTTGGGGACGGCCTCGGCTGGCCTGCTGGACATCGGTCGCCCTCGGTTGCCCTTGGGCGACCTCTGGCAGCCCTCGTTCGGCACGAGTGCCTCCCGAGTTGCCGGACTAAGGGGTTCCCCACACCAGCTAACCTCGAGACAAATCTCTCAGTCAGTGCTCTGATGTGGTCGGCAAAGAAAGGGACCCCCAGATCCTCATGTATTTGCCTGTTACTAACGTACCAGGGCGCGTTAGTAACAATGCGAAGACACTTGGATTGCAGAACTTGCAGCTTCCGGACGTGGGTGCGGGCAGCTGACCTCCAGATCGGGCATGCGTAATCCATCATGGGACGGATGAGCTGCTTATAGAGCAGCACACCGTTCCTGATGGACAGGCCACTTCTCCTATTGATGACACGCATTCATTGTCTTTTACCTAAGACGCCATTTTAAGAACTGTGAGTGTTGCACTTCAGACATAAAGATTTGGAATTTCAATCTGAATGAATTAAATCTGATCATGTAACCCACTGAAATTCATGTAGTTTTCTGCCTGTTGATTCATGAGCATTATTATAGTATTTTGGAAAACAATTTATGTGTGCACACTGCATATGAAGAGCTGGTGAACTAAAATGAGGATAAATATTTGCAGTAACTTGTTACAAATAAGTGTCAATGAACTCACACAAATTCAGAACGTATAACGCAAACATAGAGGAATCGCAGGCTCCTTTTCAAAACTGAACCCTGGAGAAAATGCTTCCATTAGCTTTACCATGTCTGTCTGTAGTTTGAGAACTTTTAGAATTTGAGAATTTTGAGAATTTTGAGAATTTGAGAATTTTGAGAATTTGTTAAATATCTTGACTCAGATACTGATGTCTCTTAATGTCACATGAAGCAATAGTTTTTTTTAGTGTTCTGTCTGACGACACGTCCTTATGAACCGAATCCCTCCACCCCCTTCAGGTTGTCAGGAACCTGTTCATATACGTTCTTGGTAGATGATCCAGAAGTGGTTTGCCATTGCCTTCTTCTGTGTGTGAATGGAGTAATTGTTGGGATGCCACGGAGAAACCGGGGAAGCCCCCGGAGGAAACCTCCGTGATGCCTAGACCACTGCCTTGCCCAAGACAAGTTATAAATCTGATCACCACCGTGAATTGAACCCGGGACCCCAGGATTACAAGCCTAGCGTTCTGACCGCTAGACCACCGTGGTGGCTGAAGCAATAGTATGACTATATAATGTAAATTGTAAACAACAGTTAATAAAATTATTTTTAAGGTTCTTAATGAGCCTAGGAATCAAACTGACACCTACGAGGAATAGGTAAATGAAGACAGAGTACTAATCACACATAGGAATAATTACATATAAACCGGGAGCCAAAACATGGACAATACAATTCATACAAGAATGTTTATATTTCTGGTGACCCTCTTAAGTGTGATAGTGTGAAGATTTGAAAATGACTGACTGCAGCTGTTTCCTCCATATTTAATTGTTGCAGGAAGTGGACTGGTGGAGCGTAGGGATCATCGCGTACGAAATGATGGCTGGGTTCAGACCCTTTGTTATTGCACGCGACGAAAGCAAGACGAAACTCAGACAGTAAGTGTGTAGCATTTGGAAAGAGATTCACATATGTGCTCCTTTTCATCATAATTTTGCTTTTCATAATGTCGTATCAAATTTGGTTTATGGCTAACAAATGACTATCCATTTTAATGGCAGTATGGCACGTGCACAAATTTGAATCCTGCATAGAATATATCTTAGGCAAACAAACAATATATAAGCACAGCCATGATTACAGTCACTACAACAGAGGTGTTTGGCAGGATGCCAACTTAATGCGAGAGACAGGGAAGAAAATGATTCCAAAAGATAAGAAATGCTTCATAACCATCTACATTCGTTCCTGTATAACCTATTTCAGAGGTGTGCAGGCAAATTAGATATTATATAGGCCAATTATAACAAGTTGTGAAAGTGTATTCCATAATGATATACACATAATATCCTCACACATTCTTTGCAACGAGCATTTAGAGGTATTAAAACCACCACCAATTTTTAAGGGTGATAAAAATCCGTATCACAACTCCCTTTGGAGGAGAAATGAAGGTGGCGGTTTCATGTCGCAGATTTACTGAATATAAAAGAACCTTAGAAGCATGAGTGAGATGTTTCATAAGCAAAATTCAGTGGCCATTTCTCACCCACGTCTCTAGTGATTCACTGCTGGATGGCTCTGGCAGTCAAATCATGACTGAGTAGAAATTGTGCAGTGTCAGTGGGTTGGTCACTCAAACACTAGGAAACCTCCGAAAAGGAGGCGGTAAAAACACTCAGTTGGGTTGTAGAACCAAGAAACAACAACAACAACGAATCCACCACCTACCTTAGGCACCAGATTTTCCTCATCCATCATTTTTCTATCACTGCTCATAGGATATTAGAGTATTATATTGAGGTCATGGAGAATGGACAACCTCCAAAATAAATTTATCCAATTCCGTCCAGTGGGTTGAGTAGCGTTGACTGGACACACGTGATAAGCCCATTATGCATTCTCCATTTGCAGTTCGAGCAAAGAACGCATAACAGTGAGTGGCATTATACAGATTGATTTTGAATGTATGTTTTAATGGCAAAATGAAAAATGAATCTATCTTTTACAGAAAAATTGTGCAACAGACGCCAGCGATCCCTAAGAATTTCACATCCATAGGGTCACGTTTTGTCAGAGGCCTTTTGGAGAAAATGCCATTAAAGCGGTTAACATCAGGGAAGACCATCAAGCAGGACATCATGCAGCATCAGTTCTTCAATGTGAGTTCTTTCCCATGTCTGTTATCACAGAATACTAGGCTGTATGTACATGTTTCACTTCTAAACTCTGCCTTGTACACTAAGAGACTGCCCCAAAACGGCAACGAGTACACAATTTTAGACCCTTCAAGCTATTTCTAGATGAATTCATTCTTTCAAAACTTGAGTAAGTGAAAAGTTTGATTTTAATTCCCAGAGAGCAACTCGTGTGTAATAAATGTCATAGGCCAAAGAGTCTGAGGACAGTAAAAGGTTAGGATGAGAGTGCATTATGTACTGTGACATGAAACCTTAAAGGCGTGATGAGGTTTTGTCAAACGTCCCACCCAGCAAATGAAGTATTGTTGAATAACTTAAAGCACAGACTAACATTTATAGCCAAACAGATAACACCATTTCAAAATTCTTGTACTTTCTGCACAACTGAAGGATCTTTCAAACTGGGGTGTTCTGATTTCTTCCCACAAACGGCTTTATCGTCCACATGAGTAAAGCTTGATCTTCTTATTCAACAGGGTATCAACTGGGATAAAGTTGCTAGCAAAAAGCTGAAGATGCCGTATGTTCCACCTTATAACAGCAGCAAAGACGTCCATCCTGTCCAGAATCTGAAAATAGAGCTTCTAGCTCATACAACTGGTTGCAAGAGAGCTGAGGTCAGTACCAATAGTACTCTGACCCTCGTCTTATTATGTGGTGCATAGGAACAAGTGTTATTTTTGGCACTTAAGTTACCTTTAGATCAGACGTTGGAAGCTGAGTTCTACATGGCCTTGAAGGTGTTATAGCAACTAAGAACGTCGAGGTGGTCCTTTGCCAATATTTGAGCATAATATTCATACAGCCACTTTCATGTGGGTTTATAGGAATAAATGGCAGTATCTGTCATAATAATGGTTGTCAGGGTAAAATGCAGACAAAAAAATTGACAGTGGAACCACGGTTTCGGAGAATCTGACGTAAATACGTCTTTGTATTTAAATTATCATTATCGGACTCTTTTAGCTTCAATGTCATCCATCTTGTTATCTTAACATAGCATGACGCAACACACAAACGCAGCTGGATCTTACAAATCTTCGTAACTAACGCTGTTTTTGCCGAATGACCCTTCTGTATAGACGTATTTACGTCAATAACAAGATGACGGCTGTCAATATATATCCTGGATTTTTTTAAAGTAACCTAACCTAAAATAATGCACTTGCTTATTATCACTGACCAAAATAATTTTCTGAACGTGTCCATAATCAAATAAGAAGACTGTGGCAAAATAAACATAAAGTTCAGTACAAATAAAAAAAGAAGTAATTCGCATCGTAGCAACGACAAGTTTTCACGCTGGGAAAATATCCTTTGTGAGTTCGAGCACGTTCCATTTTCAGAATTTCCTCTTGGAGTACAAAAATAATTGCAAACGCTCAGATTACTTCCTATAAGTCTCTATAATAAAGCCATAGATGTAGGGAATTTCAGTTTGTCTGAACATAATTGTGACATAATGCATATATCATAAAATTGCTACATGACTGATTTAGTAAGACTAAATATTCAGATGCCTCGTCACTAGCTTAGCAAGACATTTACAAGCTGACCTCAGGACACTTATTCATCTGTATTGATTAATGTTATCTGCCACATAATTGAAAACAAACATCTTCATTGCTATTTCTCAATTCTTTGAGCATGTACTTGAGACATATATGTATATTACTTCATTCTCACAGGGATCTTCAGATTCACGAAAGTCATTATTAACCACCGATCACCAGCCTTTCTTTCGGATTGAGGGTGGGGTGTATAGATTAGATTTATCTCTCTCAGGACAGTGTCCAGTGGCTGACTTGTGAACACAATTAAGAGCCTTCCGGTTCCATAAATAATTTATTAGGTTAGCAACAATTAGTCAGTGAGCTGGTCACTCACTACTAATAAATGGACGCTTCAAAGACCATGAAACCTCCAAAAGGAGGCGGCGATGACTCGCTACTGGGCTAAACTATTAATAGAATAGAGCAACTATTAGTTTCTCAGAAAAAGTCTGTTCCCTACAGTCTGTTATATTATCCTAATTAGAAACAAGATAAATCCGTAAATTACAAGAGACTTAACTGAAGAAATTCATTGATGCCACATGAACAAAATAAACATTTACAAATTTACCTCTTCCAAGCGCTTGAAAGAAGACTGGCATAAGAGAATGTAAAAGATTGTGTAAAACTGCATCCCACAAACTTTTAAGTCACTGAACATTCCATCTGTGTGTGGAACAGATTCAAGAAAGATAGGCTTCATATACATGTTTTATGTTAGCAGATCCCATGAGTATTTAGGTTTATTTATGCAACTGATCAGGAATATCAAATCTAAGATTGAGGTACAGGGGAACAGAGATCACTTACAAAAGGTCTGAGTACATAGCGGCACCTCACTGATAGTCTTTTCCCTTAAGAATATGCACATTTGAGGTGATTCATTCCTTCTACCAAGGAATTGTTTTAAGAAAATCTACTGAAAAACCAAGTTGAATATTTGCATAAACATTGAACTCCACGGAGCAGATTCTATTCAAGAAGCTGACAGCATACTCCACTAGTTAGATGATTGGCAGTATGTAACTTTTTTAAACAAGAATTGTTAGCATCCTGTCAAATTCCCAGCTACCCTCCACATCTCCTCCCACTCCAGAGGAAGCACCAGGCGGTGGAGACGAGTGATTGCAGTAACACACGGCTTAATAGACTGGTGTTGGTTATGCGGATCACATTGATCTAACTCAGGGGCAGGTTCACTGATGTACTTTAACATAAGGCATTTTCTACCTTCAGATTCTAATACAATAAAGATACATTTTTAGTTTTTATGGGCGTAGTCTGAGTTCAACCACGAAGATATATTCTTATCACCACGTTCCAACGAAACATTTTTGTATCTTATAAACACCAAATCAAATAAGTTCCTCTGCAAATTAATTTACTTACATGTGACTGTAATCTTTATCGCAGGCATGCTTATATGTAGCACCATCCCTGATTCCAAGCAATGAATAAGGAACAGGAACTTCAAAGGAGTGCCCAAACGAAGTAAGTGATATTATTTTAAGTTGTGACACTTTATTAGAGGTCACGTCTTACAGGCAGATGTGTTGAAAATTAACAAAATTAATGACCATACCTTTTAGATTTATTATGGAACAGACTGGTAAAGCTACAGCCGTGTCATAACTTGATTGTCACAATAATATAAACGAATACAGACAAATATGTGACATAAATTTGAAATTAACAGGTTAAGAAAACAACCCATCTCAGACAGTTTGGACACAACTGAATTATCACCGGAAGCATTAATTCGTCGATGTGAAGTGATGTACGTTCGACAAAATGTCAGTGAAGGTTATAGCATATAGTTATGGCATTTCAGCAGGTGGGAATCATGGTGGATGAAGCGGCACTCGGATGTGTCCTTATCAGAGATTTTTGGTTCTCCCATGTCAACATCACTGCACTGCTGCTTCGCATTTGCTCATGTATCATCTGGTTCGTTCCTTTCTGACCTGACTGCGTTCTCTTTGAATCTTACCACTTTATTGCCCATCACAGAGAAACAAAATAGTCCTCAGGGTCAAGAGGAGCGGTAGCTCAGTCAATGTAGGGTCTGATTATGTAATGGGCAAAATGAGTGAGGTTATTGAAAATGCACGAGAAGAATGATTATTTGTGAAAATTACTATACAGCCTATTTAATTTAAACATTTTAATTACCTCAATTAGTTTCAAAATTACATTATATTCAATGATAATACAGTAATTCTGCAGCATATCAGAGTACAGACAGCCTACAGGATAAGTGACATATTCTAAAAACTTGATGTTCAGTAGCTAATGAGGTTCATTATTTTCAGGATGAAATTCTGAATGAGCAACTTGTAGTCACAGCAAAGTAATGGCGTGACAGAACGGAAAATTGCTGGTGGTGACTAGCATGGTCACTGGTTTTCAATTATAAGTAAACAAGCCCACAGGAAGAATGAGACCAACGCATACCATGACACAGAGGGAAGTGGACCTCTACATTCAGCACAAAAGCATTTGCTGGGAGTTGGTCAGAATCGTGTCCGTTATTGAGTGGGAGCATCTTTGTCTCCAGAGATTCGAAGAAATTGGGCAAAAGTAATGGGAGAATGTATGTCGGATTGTGGAAAAACTAGTATAAATTTATTACGAGCAAGAAGGTATAATCGAAGTCGCTATTGAACGCATTATAATTGAAGATAATGGGGTGAACAGTGATGAATCGAGTTATATGTCAGAAAGCGATGGTCTGTGAGGAGTGGAAGAATTAGAAGAGGACCAACAGTTGTGAAGAATATAAAATTATCTAATACTCTCTGCAGTGTTAATTTTCTAGTGATGTGTAGTGTAGTGAAATCGACTTTCCTGTGTTACATACCGTGGTAATATTTTATTTGGAGTGTGCTGTACGCGAACTCCTGCCATCCGTTCCTGGAAACTTCTGTTAAGTAAACAGATCCGAGGTTTCAATTCACAAAACGCAGGGGCAGAAAATGCTGGAACCAAGTATAACTTCCGAATGAAGGCTATGTTCCATGTAGAGCGTTACATGGGAGTTCTCTAGCGGATACTCGTGTATACAAGAACTCAAAAATGGCGGGCGTTCACTTTTTCTGTCGTACATAACCTCACACAAAGGCCTCTTAACAAATAAGTCGTTGGTATACTGAGTTTATATAATCTTTCAGAATAATAATTACTTTCTCACACAGGAAAAGATATTTTATTATTTGATCTGGAAGAAGATAGAAAAAAAAACAATGATTTAATAAATCTGCTATATATTTCATCCATTTTTTCTATTTACAGTTTATACAAAATAATGTTATGAAACAGATCAAAACTGCAGTTTTGTCATCACTTAATTGTCATAATAATATACAGCAATAAAGCGAATTTGATATTGACAGGGGAAAACCAAAAACCTCTCAGAAGAATCGATCACAGGGCTACTTTGTCTACCACAAATTACACATGTCCACCATTCATAAAGTCATTAATTCCCTTTCTGTATTATTATAACACTTAAGTAATGACACACCTGGAAATATAACAGTTTCATAATAATATTTTTGGTAGAGCCTGATATGACAAAAATGGTCAACATAGGTGTGTTTATCATCATTTTATGTTTCAAGCCTGAATAATAAAATATATTTTACTGTATGAAATTAAAATAAACTTCATTAATCAATAGTTAGTCGAAATTTGTCGTTTTGGACGATTTCCGACGTTTTTTGATTTTTTTAAAATTTCGACATTTCTTGAAATTTCTCATGGGGTACCCCTTTGAGAAATTCCAAAAAATGTCGTAATTTGTCGTTTTGTACTATATCCAACGTTGTTATGTGGAAACATGGTGATGAAATACTTCATTATAGAATTCAGACAAGTTTAATAAAAATTAATCATCTGTTTGTTAAGAAGAGTTACAGAGGGTCAAAATTTTAACCAACTTGGAGTTCAATATTTTATGCACATCTTCAACAATAATATTCATCTGATTTCCTTAAAATTCTGTATACGCACATTTATGTGTTTAGAATATGACAAAACAAATTAACTAGAAAGTTCAGACTTACATAAGACAAACACAAATTTTATGCTCTGTCCTAAATAAGATTGCTTTGAAAATTTTGGGAACCCTTAAATAAGTTCTTCAGATGAATAAAACACATATAACCATTGGACAATATTCGTACTCTGTCAATATATTTTATCATATAAAATTCCATTACATTATGTCATAAAGGTGAGATGATGGACGTACAGAAACATTTTTCACATGAGTTCATTATTGTAATTTTATTTATGAAATTCTTGAAAGGGTTTTTTGTTTTCTTGTCATCATCATCGTCAAGGATTAGGCACTAATGCCTATTCAGGCTTCAAATTGATCTTTCCATGTTCTTCGTGGTCGACCTCGATCTCTTTTCCGGCTAGGTTTGTAACTGAATGCAACATTAGGTAGTCTTTCCTCAGGCATCCGTTCAACATGTTCTTTACATTTTCTTCTACATTCTCCAATTTTGTCAATTACATTAAAAATATTAAATTGTTTCCTAATGTCTTCATTTCTTATTCTATCTATTAAGAGATTAATTTAGTTTGCAGGAAAGCGTTTGCTGATAAAACTTTATTATGTGTAGTTCTACTAGGAAATAAAAGTTTGATTGTTTCATAATGTTACTTTCCTGAATTCTGCTGTTTGATATGAAACATTTTGAGTTGTATAAACCTTTCTATATTTTGTTCATACATATATAACAGTAATATTCATACATATAACTGCATTAAAGTCATTAGAAGTTTTCTTGATTACTTCTTCCGTGTAATTCATAACCATTAATATGTCGTCTGATGAAATTAATTAAGCTCTTATCTTTTAGAATGAGAATGCCTTCAGTTGTCAAATCGTTGGCATCTCACAAAAATCCAGCTATCTTATAATAAGTTTATTTTTAATAGTGGAAAAGTTTGCATTAATAAATGTTTAACGTTTCTTTTCATAATTTCCGGATATGCTACAGAAAGTTTTTTCCCCTTGTCTATATCCATGTTCATTGTATATCTGCAGTTCTTATTGTGGTTTGATATTCTGTGAACAAACAAATCTGAGAAACATTGGTCTGTAGCAAAATCAAAACATTCTGCTTATTTTTGCTCCTGAAAATGACATCAATGAGAATTGTTACTTTGTTTGACCTATGCTTTATTGCAGTACAAGTCAAAGTATTTTAAATAAGTCACTTTACATTTCTGTACGCATCACCAGAAGAAGCAGCATATTTCCGTGGATGACCAAATAAATGCGCACATGAAGAAATTCCGCACGAAGATTGCGCACAGAAAAGAACCCACTGTCATAAATGCTCACACGAAAAAATACGAACATAGAATAATTCTCACATTATTTAGTTTACAAAAACAAATGTGGCTAACGAGGCAAAGGGTAGGTTAGGTTAGGTTAGTATGTATAGTAAGTTTGAACTAAACATCATAGCATGCACATTACGCTTTATTAAGACTGTATTACTTGATAGTATTATGAATGTGAGAATTTTTCTACGTGCGCATTTTTCTGTGTGAGAATTCGTCCGTATGAGCATTTATCCTTGTAAACAATTATCCGTGTGAGTATTTTTCAATGTGAACATTTTGCACATTAGCATTTATAACTGTGGGATTTTTTCTTTGCGGAATTTTCATGTGGGCTTTTGTCACGGAACCATTTATGTGTTTGTCAAGAGCTATTTATTGCCGACAAACACTGTAAGAAGATCAAAGCGTAATTCACTTGTGTTTTGCAAAATAAATTATGTATCAATGCCCTGCAAACCGTAATTTTGGACTTGGCTGTTTTGGCCAGTGCTAGTTTTCATTTATTATGAATCATCTGTACTACACTGTCCTTTTCTGAGTTATTCACTTGCATTAGATGCTCTGGAAACATCGCTCTTTAAAAAGGAAAAGACAAATAATATGTTACAGTTTATTCTTCAACATCATGCAGAGAAACAGACAATAACTCATTTCCATACACGAAATAAATTCCCCGTTCCTGCAAGATGAACATCAACCACTTTGTTTTGTGAATATGTTGAATATTTGTACATTATTTTTGTACTCCTACGTCACGAAGAAAATTTCATTTAAATGTGCTAAAAGCTGGATAACATTACAATCAATAATTGCATGCTCATCTTGACTTTTATCAGATTGACAAAACAATGTATTTAAAAGAAAGATTATGATGATGGTGCCTGGCTCAGCACATTATTAAATCATATAAATTTTTGAGCAAAGAAATTAGTTTCATATTTTTTTATATGCAGGTAACTTATGTGTTTGTTGAATAATTTACCAGCTGTTAAAGAAAGGCCTGGCACAGTAGACTTGGTCACTTAAGTTCATAATACCTCCACACCTTACGTCTCCAAATGTTTCAGAATAGATTTTGTAACTATTTCTGAAGCCAAGGCAGTACATCTCTGCTCCACACCTAATATGGCCACTGTCTGGATTCCAACAATTGAGGATTATGTACACCGATTATTACTGGTGCAACTTCAGGCCTGTAACAAAATAATATTGACACAAGTTTAAAGGAAAACATTCTTTTACACATTAATATTTAGTTTGGCAGACCGTCTACAGAACAAGTTTCTTATTAAGGTTTTAGTGCTTATTAATGCGGCACACGAAATATTATCAGAACAAAATGCACAAACAATTTAATTTTCATAGCTACTATTTTTGTCCACTTAAATGGAACCACTTGTAAATTACCTGTCAAGGTAAAAGCATGAAGTGGTATATGAATAAAAATTCAGATTAAAATCATAAAACATATTGCGTAGAACAAATTTCAACGTAATAGAGCATTGACACACATTCATAATCAGGATATTTTGCATTCTGTGGTATTTACCCGCAGAAGTCAAAACACGGAAATTTCAGAACACAGACTGTCCTATAAGACATCAATAAAGTTTATTAATCCATCAACATGATTTAGTAAATTTCTTACCGTAGTTCATAATGTCCTTGTCCTTCTGTTTTCATCACCTGGGATCCCTGTAACAAAACAAAACAATTTCAATACGTTATGGCATTAATTTATTTTACAGCTTGTGAGTGTGAGCTGTCTCTCCTGCAGGGTGTTAAATGGAGGATAAGGATCAATGTAAATACTGCGAGATGCAAAGACAGAAATGGCCTAGGTGGCAGTTTATTTATGATCTTTGGGAAATTATTCACAAATTCATTGTCCATCAGTATTCGTCATTGGTGTTAATGCAAATATTGTAGATAAAAAATGTGATTCAGTAATTTGTATCAATATATTCTTGACGAAAATTCCAGTCAGAAATATTCTATCACCTTGGGTGGTGTTATTAGTGGCTATAAAGTTATGAGTATGTGAAATTCAAGAATTAATTTTACATTAGTAAGCTCAATTACTAAACAAGTTTTTACAATTTGCAATTGACTTTATAACATATGTTTCAAGTATCCACAATCAGCATGGATACCCATTTTTCTACAAAATGTGTAATCCTCAAGAATTTGAACACAACCATTTACGTATCTTCCAACATGCATAATGTTATAAAGTTGTCTGTTCTATTTCTGA